CTACTTGAAGGCTTCTATTTTAGATCTACGAGCATTAAAGTTGCTTCCATTTGCCACTGTTCAAGAGAAAAAAGAAACTGAAACCTAAATTCGTGATGAATTATTATTATTAGAAACTCAATCAACCAATTCAAATAATAGTGAAGAAATGGAAAGAAATTTAGTAACTACCAATGAAGATCTCCAAGATTCTTTAAGTGCTGAACTATGGGGATCATGTTCAATACCTAGCCAAGACATTACCGAAAATAAATTTACTCGCTACATGAAAGAACCAATTGCACATAAAAATCAAGATCCGTTAGTATGGTAGGAAAATAGACGTATAAATTTTCCACTTCTTAGCCAACTTGCTCGCAAATACCTATCTATTCCTGCTACATCAGTTCCATCAGAACGGGTGTTTTCTGATGTGAATACACATATTTCAGCTAGAAGGACTCGCCTTGGCCCTAATTTAGTAGATAAAATATTATTTTTGAAAAGAAATTCTGATCACTTTTCTATGTTTCTGTCTGAAAATATATAATTTTGTAATCTAGTATAATAATGATAGATAATACAAAATATAAAACTTGGTTTAATAAATAATAAGCATATTCCAATCTCTTACTGTTCCAAGTACGATCTTGTAAAAGGTTTGGTTCGAGCAAGAACGCAAATATATCTATGTAATGTAATTTCTTTTTTTTTTGGCCAATCAGACAACGTATTATAACATTAAATCCGGATATTACTCTTAAATCCGGATGTCATAGTTAAATCTGGATATAATAATTAAATCTAGATTTAATGATTAAATCTGGATTTAATGATTAAATCCGGATTTAAGAGTGATATCTGGATTTAAGGAGTTAAATCTGGATTCAGGTATTAACTCTACTTGATACTACCATCTCGAAATAGAAGCTCTTGGGCGATCCAAATCCAAAAAACTGGAATAATTGAAACCTGTTTAGCAAGACCCGAGTAAGAAGATAGTGAAGATACTGCAAAAAAGTTAGAAATTAGTGACCGAAGAACTGGACAAAAACCCTGGAGCAAGAAGGGTCCACCAACCTGACTGCCGGAGTTATACTGAAGGAAAAGGTTCTATGCTATAGAATTAGGAACCAAGAGAAGTAAAACTGGAAAGCACTTAAAGCCTAGATATAACAACCTATCCAGACTAACTGGTTTAATAGTTGGGGAAGGATCGGTATAAGGACCAGCTTGATGTGAGTATCAAGATCGAAACAAACCTTGCAAGAGTACCGGATACTGAAATTGTATAGTTTAATGGTTCGCTCTGACTGCTAGTGGTGGTTTCAGCTGCTGCAAAAGGTATTTATAGCCTAATCTGGAATTACGTGGACATAGAAAGATTAGAGGGATATGTACTACACCCTCCCTAGAGCAGCCCGGTAGTATAAGAACCCTACTGGGTT